AAATAAGGTACATACATTAACTATTATACCATCTTGATTGTATAAAGTTCGCCTTCTAATAATACTAATTCTAGCTATTGAAAATACTAAAATAAGAAATACATTATTATCTTCTTTTTTAACAGGATAACCAAAAATCATCCAATATTTAAACTGATCATAAGTAAAACCAGTATTTTGAGAGAAATATTCTAACATATCTTGAATCATATTTAAAAGAGGCTTAATTGATGTACATTCAAAAATCATATGTAGAAGTGTTTCATCTTTCAAATCATTACACAATTTACAACAAGGATTATCTAATATGTTAATATTGTACAATTTAAGATTATTCCAAATTATATTATGTACAATTTTAAAATCATTATCTATACATTCAGAACTTTTCATTTAAAAAATACAGATTTCCATACTTGTTTCCATTCAACATTAAAACCATTACTTTCCCAATGAGAAATACAAGTAGGATCTTTAAAAACATTATCTGTAAAAAATTTATATACAACTCCAGATCTTAAATTACTTAAATCATAACTATTGTCATCTATAACTAATTGACACTCAATACTATTTTCTGCAAAATCTGAATTAATTTTAAGTTTATCTATCCATTCTTTAGGCAAAGCTTTCAAAATAACATCAAACTGATTTTTAACACTCTTAATATTTACATCATATTCATCATAAAATGAGTCTAAAATGGCTTCATAAGGCAATATACCAGGCAAAAAGTTATAACAAAGATCACATACTTTGATTAAACCGACATTGACATAATTTTGAAAATAAAATGATTTTGCATTATGAATTATAAAAGGATTATCAAAAATGGGTTGATTGAGAATATCATTAATACATTCAGGTACAAAAACTCCTTGTGTTCTTAAATCCCTCCAAGCTTTCAACATAGATGAATAAAAGAATGGTAAAAAATCTAAATGAAAATTAGCATAATCAATAAATAATAATTCAAAAGAACACCTCATATTCTTATAGGACATAAGAAAATATGACAAATAAAATTTCCATGGAGCATTATCAAAACACTGAACATAATTTGAAAGCCATGCAATTCTAAAAGCCTTCTCCTTTTGCTGTATGTTGACTAATTGTAACCCCCCAACATCATAAGATGAAGCTTTGATTAAATGTCTTTACCATACCAAATAAAATTTCTAACTGATCTTTCTATACTTAATAAAGCCCATTCAGGAATATCATAACACGTAATAAATATCAAATAATGCTTAAACATAACGTATTTACAATAATTACTTTGCCTTTTAATTGAAGCCCTCGCTGCCTCCATACATTTAAAACTTTTAAAACTTTTGAACATTTTGATTCCCAATTCATCTTTTCACACTTAGCTTTATCTGGGCCCAGATAAACTCCAAGAATATTAACACAACCTTCTAATAATTTGAAGGGTACATAATTTAAACATGTAATACTTGCAGAACCAGCCAATAACAATTCAGATTTTTCGGCATTAATTTTAGCTCCAGAGGCAGAACAATATACATCAAAAGTTTTAAAAGCTTCATTTACAGATTCAAAATTAGATAAAGTTAGAGTTGTAACATCAGCATGTTGAAATAAAATAGATTTAAAATCACAGCCTGAGATAGGTATACCACATATATTATTATTCGATTTAATTAAAAGATTTAATGGCTCCGCAGTTAAAACATACAAAAGTGCTGATATGGGGAAACCCTGACGTACAGAACGTTTAATTGGGAAAGATGAAGAAATATGACCATTGATCTTAATAGAACTTCTAATGCCATTATACAAAAGTTTTATATTTGAAATGAAACTATCCCCAAAACCAAAATGTTGTAATAATGAAAACATATACTGATGAGAAACTCTATCAAAAGCTTTTTCAGCATCAATTTTAAGCAGGTATAAAGGGAGATCATCACGTTCAACAAAATCTATCAAATCTCTGATATTTAAAATATTAGTAGCAATATCACGACCAGGGACACAACAAGACTGCTCTGGTGAGATAATAAATAATAATAATAATAAAAGACTTATGGGACGCCAATTTTTAAGTACTTCCTTATCATCTCTACTTTTGTAAAATAATGAAATAATCCCCCTTTTCATAGATTTACTTAATTCTCCTAATTTTTGAATTTCACTAATTACATTAAAATATAAAGGGCCTAATTCTGGCCAAAAATGTAAATAAAACTCAACAGTGAGACCATCAGCTCCAGGAGATTTACGTTTCTTCATTCCTGACAAAGAATCATGCAACTCTTTCAGAGAAATATCAGAATCACAATAAACACTTTCAGTTTCATTTAACTTATTAGAAATGAGACTAAATAAAGTTTTTTGGTTACCTTCATTAACAGGATCACATTTATATAAATCAGAATAAAAACGAACTGACTCTTGAAGAATATCTACAGTAGATGTACAAATTTCTCCTGAAGAAGATTTCAAAGATCTAATTACATTAGTTTCTTATTTTCTCTTTTCTAAACTTAAAAAATAATGAGAACATTTATCTGATTCTAAAGCATCAAGGGCTTTAGATCTAAGTATGGCACCTTCACATTTACTGTTTTCATAAACTTGTAATTTATCTTTAAGATCAAGAATATGTTCATAATTATAATTTATATCCTTACTTGCTCTTAAATAATGAAAATTCAATGCAGTTTGAAGTTGCCAAAAATCATCCTTTATTTTCTTACGCTGCTGCTGAGCATAAGAAACACTTAAAAGTTTAATCTTATACTTAAGATTGTCCCACCAAACCAGAGGTTCACTAAGAAATAATGAGCATGTAGTCAAAGAATTAATCAAATTTCTAATTTTAAAACAATACTCAGTATCCTTTAAATACATATTATTAAAAACCCAAACACCAGGACCTTTTTCAAAATTATCAAAATTTAATATCAAAGTTACAAAACTATGGTCACTAAAACTGTTGTGTGAAACAAAACAATACTGAGAATATGATAAAATTGAAGATGAAACAAAAATATAATCTAAACGAGATTGTTTTAAAACACCATTAACAAATTGCTGACGTGTAAATATAACTTTATCTGGATTTTTTCTTTTCCATATATCATATAAATTACAATCATTTACAAAAGTAGAAAGAGAATGAGACGATTTACCAAAAGTGGACATATTCTTAGATCTATCAGTGAAGGGGTTTAAAACATCATTAAAATCTCCACACAAAACAACATTATCATTTGTATTAAAGCGTTCTATAACAGACCTGAACCAAGTTTTCCTTGATAATTCATCATTAGGAGCATATAAACACATTAAAATAAAAGTAAAATTATTAATAACTACCTGACATTCTAAATGTCTTCCTTCACCATCTCTATAAACAAAATTACATTTATCAATAAATTGTTTTGATACAAACAAAGCACAGCCTTTATACCCATCTTTACTGTTACTAAAAAATATATTACCATCCCACAAATGTTTGTAAGACTTTACAAAATTGTCATCCCAATGTGTTTCTTGTACACATATAAAATCTAAATTTTGATTATGCAAATATGACACAAGTTTTTCAAATTTAGGAACACTCCTTAAACCATTAACATTGATAGAAGCAATCTTTACCATGTTGAGTATAGAAAATAATAGAATGAAAAAAAACATGAATGTTATTTCTTAACTGGTTGACTTTTAGAAACATAATTAACAACATCTTTATCAGGAACATTTTGTAAAACTTGAGATTTAATTTTTTGACAAGATTTCTTCACTTTGCGTTCATGTATTATCTTAAGAAAATCATCATCTGATTCACTATGCAGTTTCTTTTTCCTTGCTCGTTTGCCCCGATTTTTATCAGATTCATCTATGCTAAACGATTGTGACAGTTCGTCGACACACATTTCACTCTCAGTCTGGGAGCTTAACACACTATCAGTTACAACAGTTTCATCAGGAATTCGTTTAAAAAGTAAATTTTTACCATCATCATTACAATCATCATTATCTTTTATTTTAATCAAATCATCAACAATTTCAACATCATTCAAACTATCCACATCTTTATTAATAGAAACATCTTCATTTTTAATACACAAATCAACATCACTAATATTTTCACTTTTTTCTCCACTCACACCACTGTCAGCCTGCCTTGAATTGTTATCACAACAATCACCACCTCTCGAACAGTTACTCACTCCGTTATCAACACATGAAGCAGTGCTCACGAACAAATCATGGTCAACCACTGGAACACACAAACATTTCCAATCAAATAATCCACATCTAGGGCATAAAACCGCTGTGCATGACTTTTTCCCATGCCCTGGCTCCTCACATCTAAAACATTTAAAATCTGGGCATTGAGACAAAATATGACCAGGTAGTAAACAGTTAAAGCATACTTTCTCTTGCTCATTATGTCTGATTGAATATGAAAGTCCTTCGAAATTAGTAGCATATGGCAAACTGGCAACGTTAGGAGGAAACTCTACCTTTACCATCATATTTCTTTTTCCCTTTGAAATCAAAGGTTTTCCTTATCAAAGGCCCGGCCACTTTTACACCCCATGATTTCAATTTTTTCAAAATATCTTCATCCTTTATGTAAACAGGAATATGCATGAATGAAACAACCTTGATTCTCGAATCAACAAATTTACAATGCATACCTTCTTTACCGTCTGCCATTAATCCGTCCTCCACCAATTTATATGCAACATCCTTATGCACAAGAGTAACATCATATGAACCGTTACAAGGAACACAAGCCAGTACACTATCCTCACCAAGTTTCTCCTCCACTAAGTCAATTATCTCCTTTGCACGATATTTCCGAGTATCGTGAACAAACACTTTCACCGTGTTGTTTTTAATCAACAGGTCAACGTCCGCCATCTTGACGATAACTGTCCACCGCCCACGGCTGAGGCAGCCGGGCCAAAAGGCCTAAAAATCACTTATACACTATAATATCCAATAAATAATATCCTTAAATAGTTCAGAAAGTCATCCAAAATACACACAAGATAATATGAGTATCCAACCTCAAAAGAATTTCACGGATTCAAACGGATTTACATAGAGAATTCAACACACGTCCTTCTCCTATGAAAACCAAACCGGAAGTCCCAACTGGTGTTTTCAACGTGGCATGGCCGTAGACGTTACACAGCAATGTTTCAGGCGAGTCTTTGGCCATATAATACGCTACGGTACACACGGAAAAATTAATTTCGGCCCAAAAATTTTGTCCAGGCCAGGAACTGGTCTAAATGGCCCACACGCGATCGAGACTCAGCCTTCCAAGAGTGAAAATGCAAATCCAAGCGTGAAAATAGGTGCAAAAGGGCGTCTACAGCACTCGGTGTTCCCAGGCGGTCACCCATCCAAGTACTAACCGAGCCCGATGTTGCTAAACTTCAGTGATCGGACGAGAACTGGTGTTTTCAACGTGGTATGGCCGTAGACGTTACACAGCAATGTTTCAGGCGAGTCTTTGGCCATATAATACGCTACGGTACACACAGAAAAATTAATTTCGGCCCAAAAATTTTGTCCAGACCAGGAACTGGTCTAAATGGCCCACACGCGATCGAGACTCAGCCTTCCAAGAGTTAAAATGCAAATCCAAGCGTGAAAATAGGTGCAAAAGGGCGTCTACTGCACTCGGTGTTCCCAGGCGGTCACCCATCCAAGTACTAACCGAGCCCGACGTTGCTTAACTTCAGTGATCGGACGAGAACTGGTGTTTTCAACGTGGTATGGCCGTAGACGTTACACAGCAATGTTTCAGGCGAGTCTTTGGCCATATAATACGCTACGGTACACA